TGTAGATTGTTTCACCAGTGATTCCGGATCTATAGTGTATTATTTACCAAACAATTTGGACATGCCAAGCCATGGACAACATCATCATAGACTTCAGCTCCGGCTGAACTGTGTACTATCCCTAGATCAACATTAAAGCTGAACTGTGTACTATCCCTAGATCAACATTAAAGCTGAACTGTGTACTATCCCTAGATCAACATTAAAGCTGAACTGTGTACTATCCCTAGATCAACATTAAAGCTGAACTGTGTACTATCCCTAGATCAACATTATAGCTGAACTGTGTACTATCCCTAGATCAACATTATAGCTGAACTGTGACCTTTCACTAGATCAACATTATAGCTGAACTGTGTACTATCCCTAGATCAACATTAAAGCTGAACTGTGTACTATCTCTAGATCAACATTATAGCTGAACTGTGTACTATCCCTAGATCAACATTATAGCTGAACTGTGTACTATCCCTAGATCAACATTATAGCTGTACTGTGTACTATCCCTAGATCAACATTACAGCTGAACTGTGTACTATCTCTAGATCAACATTATAGCTGAACTGTGTACTATTCCTAGATCAACATTATAGCTGAACTGTGTACCATTCCTAGATCAACATTATAGCTGAACTGTGTACCATTCCTAGATCAACATTCCAGATGAACTGTGTACTATCCCTAGATCAACATTCCAGCTGTACTGTACTATCTCTAGATCAACATTCCAGCTGAACTGTACTATCTCTAGATCAACATTCCAGCTGTACTGCACTATCTCTAGATCAACATTCCAGCTGAACTGTACTATCTCTAGATCAACATTACAGATGAACTGTACTATCTCTAGATCAACATTCCAGCTGAACTGTACTATCTCTAGATCAACATTCCAGCTGAACTGTGTACTATCTCTAGATCAACATTCCAGCTGAACTGTGTACTATCTCTAGATCAACATTATAGCTGACCAGTGACCCATCTCTAGATCAACATTATATCTGACCTGTGACCCATCTCTAGATCAACATTATAGCTGAACTGTGTACTATCCCTAGATCAACATTATAGCTGAACTGTGACCTATCTCTAGATCAACATTATAGCTGACCTGTGACCCATCTCTAGATCAACATTCTAGCTGAACTGTGTACTATCCCTAGATCAACATTACAGCTGAACTGTGTACTATCCCTAGATCAACATTATAGCTGAACTGTGTACTATCCCTAGATCAACATTACAGCTGAACTGTGTACTATCCCTAGATCAACATTATAGCTGAACTGTGTACTATCCCTAGATCAACATTCCAGCTGAACTGTGTACTATCCCTAGATCAACATTACAGCTGAACTGTGTACTATCCTATCCCTAGATCAACATTAAAGCTGAACTGTGTACTATCCCTAGATCAACATTCCAGCTGAACTGTGTACTATCTCTAGATCAACATTCCAGCTGAACTGTGTACTATCTCTAGATCAACATTCCAGCTGAACTGTGTACTATCCCTAAATCAACACTGTAGCTGAACTGTATACTATCCCCAGAAACATTACAGGTGTTTTCTCGCTCAAGCAACACAACAGTTGTACTATCCCTAGACCATTACAGCCAGGCTGGTCATTGTGTTGATGACAAGACAAACATAGCATAGACAAATCACATCAATAGGGTCACAGACAACATCATCTGGTGTAACACAAAGAGAGTGTGTACATCACAGCTGCCAGACTTGTAAACTAAGCACTAGAACTATTCTGTTGTGTAGATGTTTTGAGAGAGAGAGAGAGAGAGAGAGAGAGAGAGAGAGAGAGAGAGAGAGAGAGAGAGAGAGAGAGAGAGAGAGAGAGAGAGAGAGAGAGAGAGAGAGAGAGAGAGAGAGAGAGGAGAGAGAGAAGGGTAGATAAAGAACTGCAGTAATCAAACAAAGCAAGACCTAAGCTACCAAATTACCTGAGGGCAAAGGAGGAAACAAAGGATGAATGAACCCAGCCTTTCAACTATGGGAGCTGGCTGGACATGACTCTTGACTACTGTTCTGACTATAGCTGGCCCAGTCTCAGCTGGCCATTTCCTAACAGCAAGCCCCTGAACTCTGTGTCCTCGTTTGCTGCCCTGACTTGCTGCCTCGGCTAGACCATCAACATCTAGTGTATCAGTGTTGACTAAATCTCTGCAGTCAATCTCTCAGAGAGCTCATTGGCAAACCTCATAAATTGTCCTCGCTATGTCTGGTCTCACATATGATACATTTGGACCCTTCATATCACTGCAAAACTCATCACTGCCAAACCTTGACTTTAAACAAAAAACTATTTTGTTTTGCATTCTCTCTTCAATTTCACTGTCGGTTGTATTTTGGCACCCCATCAACAGTGACAGTGAACAAGCCACACCAAATGCTTCAATCTTATGCTGCTTTGTTTTTCTGTTACACCTTCCTTCCACGTGTTCTCTGAGGCTTGATTTCCTCTACTTCTGGTTTTAGTGTCCTCCAGGCTCCCAGTATTTCCTCTACTTCTGGTTTCATTGTCCTCCAGGCTCCCAGTATTTCCTCTACTTCTGGTTTCAATGTCCTCCAGGCTCCCAGTATTTCCTCTACTTCTGGTTTCATTGTCCTCCAGGCTCCCAGTATTTCCTCTACTTCTGGTTTTAATGTCCTCCAGGCTCCCAGTATTTCCTCTACTTCTGGTTTTAGTGTCCTCCAGGCTCCCAGTATTTCCTCTACTTCTGGTTTTAGTGTCCTCCAGGCTCCCAGTATTTCCTCTACTTCTGGTTTCATTGTCCTCCAGGCTCCCAGTATTTCCTCTACTTCTGGTTTTAGTGTCCTCCAGGCTCCCATTGTTTCCTCTACTTCTGGTTTCATTGTCCTCCAGGCTCCCAGTATTTCCTCTACTTCTGGTTTCATTGTCCTCCAGGCTCCCAGTATTTACTTCTGACTTCAAAGTCCTCCAGGCTCCAAATATGTCTCATTCTTCTGTATGCACATAATCACAGATACTGAGGATCTCTATGTGGTCAGGTGGTTCACAGATTCAAGATGTTGGTTTGATGCTTTCACTATAAATACTTTTACAGGAGATTCAGTGGGTGTTTTTTTGTCATTTAGGTAAATAGACAGCCGTTCAAGGATTAATGGTGCCTCAGTGGTTCAGCAAGTGACAAGACTACATACCCAGACAAGGTTGACTAGCCACACTGACCCTTGCTAGTGGGGTGACTGCCATACCACAAGTAGCCAGAAACTAGCCTGCCATCAGTTTTGACTGAGCTGACACAGTTGAATGACACCACTATTCTAGTCAGTGATGGACTGAATGACACCACTATTCTAGTCAGTGATGGACTGAATGACACCACTACTCTGATCAGCTGGTGATGGACAGAAAGACACTATCCAACTTAGTCAGTGGAATACCCACCTTGCCATTTAGATCAAGGAAGTATTGCTACTCCAGTAGACCTAATCTGAATTTGATCTCATTTTCATCTCTCTTTTGTTAAAATGCATACTACCTCATTTAAGTTTTATTACCTCTTCTGTCAGCTCAATGATATTCTATCTGGGTTTCTATAAATAAACCCAGTTCAACATGAGTTTGAGGCAGTCACATACCTACTGGCCACTTCAAGCCCCTAACTGTATCCACAAGAGCATGCTTGAATTGATGTGCAGACTTTGGGTGCAGACAAAAGCACAAACTTCACAAAGGAAACCAACTTAGACACAGTTCTCAAAGTCATTATAGAAAAGACTCTCTGTTTACATTAAACTTTGCTTGAAAGCTTATTTATTCATGTATTTATTTTACGTTGACTGTTATTCACATCGAACCTGACTTCCGCTACATGACTGTTCTCTAGTAAGGACATCTTCGATGAAAATGAGATGATCTATTTAACAATGTAATAGACTTATGTTGGAAAGGGGGAGGGTTTAACAATTTAATACTAATATTTACGCAATGTTTACAAATGTGACAAGTGTAAAGATGCACAAAGACGGTTGCAACACCCGGTAGACATGCAGACTACATTAATGACTGAATGTGAGTCGAACCCATGCAAACAAAGGCTCACAGCAAGACAACATTTCAGACCACACTCAGATGAAAGGAAAGGACAGGTGCTAACCTTTGGTGATGTACATGTATATATAGCCTGTACCTGTGTGCCTGCTATTTTACCTATACATATCATATAGCCTGTACGTGTGTGCCTGCTATATTACCTATAAATGTCATATAGAATGTACCTGTTTGTAAGATTCCTGTACCTGTAACCCCTTTCCCTAGCCATCACTTCATATACAATTCACTTTTCTACACATTTAGTTTTTATCTGTAACATTTCATACCTCTGCGGTCTAAAAAGACGGCTCTATTTTAAGGATTTTGCTATGCCTTCAACTGTTCAAATCTATTTCTTAAACTTATATTATTCCTCACAGTTACAGTCCTTGTTCTGAAAATTTGTTGTACGTTTTCTTAAAACTGTTGCTCATGTCCTTTTAAAAAAAAAGGAGGGGGAATTGGGGGGGGGGGGGGGGGGTGTTAGCCATTGATTTTGAAAACTGCAGTATAGTTTCACTATTGTTGATTTGATATGGTTGTATTTCTGATTTCTTTCACTACATGCCACATTTACCTGAAATCTTTTCCATACACACTGACCTAGTACAACTACTGCCAACAAAACAAAACAAAATTATTTTTAAAAAATAATAATAAAGTGAACAAAATGAAAATTAAACAGAAGGTGAAAAAAGAAAAACAAAAAACATAAAAAGGAAAGGAAAAAGGGGCAGGAAACAAAGGGCAACATCTCACAGAAATATTCAATGAAAAAAGTCAGGAAAAACAAACAGTGACTAGATATCAGAAACAAAAATGATGAACTGGCTATGTTTCTGATGTTCTAAACATCTGACCGACCAGGAAACATTCTCAGACAGGCTATACAATACGCTGGTACACATAAGACAGTCAATTTACCGGCTTCTTTATCTTCTCCGTCCTTCTTTTTCTTCTTCTTATCATGAGCTTCTTCAGAGGACTCGTTGAGAAGAGCAAAGATAATGCCAGTCTGGGAGTTGGGTCCAACAGCCACAACTAGCATCTTGCCGCTGCCTTCCATCACATGAGTTCCTGTAAAACACAATCACACAGTGAATATACCAACCACCAACAGCACAACTGTCTTCTTCTTTTGCTAGTCACTCTGCTACCTGGTTGTGTCTCCGTGGCATGGAGTTCTCTATTAGGTTTTCTTTTGCCTTCACACAATTACAGGGTTTTAGCCCATTGTTTTTGTTTTCTGTATGTTTCTTGTGCTTTTTTGGGTGTCTTGAGTGATGGTTCTATTTATTTTCTGTCCATTTCTTCGCCGACTTTTTTCTTACTTTCTGCCCAAATGTTGTGCTGTAGAAGATCTTATATATAGCTTGGTCTGGCTGAATTCTTACTAGATGGCCAAACCAATTCATTATCTGTCTTTCAATATATTTCAGGAACACAGTCTCTTTCCCCCTAATGCTAATATCTGTGAGCCACGTCCCCTCTTGTACTGATGGTGACCTTTCTGAAGCATAACACTTCACGGGTATTCCCTCTTCAGTACAATAGGTTAAACCACAGATCTGTAGAGCAATCACATATTTTTTTAAACAAAGACATGTACTTGTGTTTAAAAGTGTGTATGCATATGTATGCATTTTATATGTGTGTGCTGAGTTGTGTGTAAGCGTGTGGGTAATTATGGCAGGGTATGTGTGCACATATGTATCTGTACACAACATGCAAGTATATACATATTTGTGTGTATTTGTGATCATGTATCAATATATATATTTATCACATTGTTGTATGCATTTATTCAAACACCGGAGACTGCTATATGAAATACAAAGGCTTTGTACACAAATTAGTGTTAGGAAGGGCTGAAAGTCAGATAGGCATGCATGACCTATTTATGACCCTTTGAAATATACTTTCTTCATTCTCTGTACACAAATTAGTGTTAGGAAGGGCTGAAAGTCAGACAGGCCTGCATGACCTATTTATGACCCTTTGAAATATACTTTGTTCATTCATCAAGTAGCAAGCTACAATTAGAAGCAACAACAACAAAAAGGATGCTAGGAACATACATTGGTCAACAAGAAAAACAATAGTTTTGACAAGAAACTTCTCCTCCTGTGGGTTTCAAAATCCTTTTTTTATTTCACTAAAATATTTTAATTTTAAAAAAAAAAGGAAGGGGGGGGGAGATTGTAGACCCTACTGTTCTCTGGAAAGCATGTCATAAAAGACAACTAATTCAGGATTTATTTTAAACTGGATATGTTGGGCTGAAAGATGGACTCCCTGAGTAGAAAACATCATCCTGTCATTGAGAAGTTGGATAATGCAAACCTCTCCTCCTTGGCCTGTGACAGCTGGGGAGCCTGTTTGACAGGACTAGCTGGGACTGAGCCATGTGCATGTGGACAATGAGGTCCCTCCCTACTTAAGTAATGCACCTGGATAGCTTTCTGTTCATGGTGGAACTAACAAGTCACTGATACATGTGAACTCTGTCAGTCCCAGGTAGATGTCCCTTCAACTGGTTCTGCTATCAGACATTATTTTAAATAATCAATGCTTGTACCAGGAGGATCTCCGTGTAGTTTCTGCGGCCCATTGTAGGGAAAATAAGAGTAGAAGTTGGCTTCTTTCAAAGTTCCAGTGAATCCCCCTGAGCGACAAGGAACAACAACTGCACACAAATAAGCCAGTAAAATGGATGTGCACGTAAAACTCAGGCCAAGACACAAAGTCCAAATGGATGAACAACCAAGACTTTCTACAAGAGCTTACAGACAGTGAGCAAAGAAGAAAAATAAGTATTAATAAGAGAAAAAACAAATTCTCTGAGACAAAAGGGATTGAAATAATAGATATCTGTGTGGGGTGGGATCTATGTGTGTGCGGAAGGGGAGGGGGGGATTAGAAAAGTGCAATCTGGGTGGCAGACCATCAGTGAAAATTCAAGATAACTGTGTGGCTTAATAAAGAAATTATATTTGAGTCCCATGTAATGGCTGCACCAACCTGATGCTGCAGTCTTGTGTGGGTTAGGTTTGTATGTGGTTGGTAGAATGACCGATAAGCTACAAGAAATAGAGAAATGTACAGCTTGTCTGTAGAAACCAACAAGTATACCCGTATGAACTCAACCTACAGACTGAAGGTTAACCAGGCTTTCACACAACTACCAATGCACCAACAATCTAAAGTGATGACAATCAGCGGTGCCCAGTTTTACCAGACAATATCTTGTACTAACAATGTAAACTGGTGACCATCAATGGTTCCTGATGTTTTACCGGACAATATCTTGTACTAACAATGTAAACTGGTGACCATCAATGGTTCCTGATGTTTTACCGGACAATATCTTGTACAAACAATGTAAACTGGTGACCATCAATGGTTCCTGATGTTTTACCTGACAGCAGCATGGGGTCCCTGTTCTCTCCCTTCTTGACATGGTCAGACTCTCCAGTCAGTGAACTCTCATCAACTTTGAGGTCATTACTCTGGATGATAATGCCATCAGCAGGTAACAGATCACCTGTAAAAGAGAGACAGGTACATTTGATCAGGTCATAGCAAATCTCAAGACACCAGAAATGTATATTTGATTACATCAACAAATATAGCTAAGATGGTTTTACAGATAAGAGGCTAAAACATGTAACGTGTATCCACAAATATCTGAGATTCTTCTTCTTCTTCTTCTTCTTTTATTTACCTGAAATAAGTTGTCTATGTCATCAATTTTGTCTCTTGTATAAATTTTACAGTCAGTTCATTCAGTGGTCCATAGAGTTTAGGTTCCACAGTTGTTCTTTCCGGCCAAAAGGTTTGCCTTAATGTAACAAATTCAATGTAGTCCTGGAGTACATGCTCTGCTGTCTGGGGCACCTTTCCACAGGTGCACATGGCTGATACGCCTATCCTGAATTTTGTGTATATGTGGTTACGTAATCGGTTGTGCCCTGTTTTGAGGCGGAGGATAATGACTTGTTCTGATCTCTCTATAATAAAATTAGTCGTCTTGTGCTAGGGCTGGTGGTTTCCTGATCGATTTAATGATTCTTTTCTTTTGGTGGTATGTGACTGGTACATCCGGCTGCACTTTTGTCACACCTTCTCCTGCCAGTTGATCAGCTTTCTCATTTCCAGGCACTCCACAATAGGACGGTATCCAATCCAATATGACTCTTTGCTGAAGGCTGAGTTGTGTCAGCAGTGTGCAATTCTGATAGTTTCCTAGACTGGAGTGCTTCAAGTACGGATATAGCATCTGTCAGCATTACCACATACTGTGAGCCAAGATTGGTACTTAGCAGTTTCTCTGTTTCTGCATCACAGTTATGGCAGTACTTCCCATTTGGCAGTCAGTTATCCCTAGTACCATCTGGGAATTCTATGTACACTCCAGCGCTACAATTTCTAACTGCACTTTGTGCAGACCCATCTGTATAGACTCAGACCCATTGTTCTTGAGGGTATTCTTCATCAATATAACTGAGGGTGGCCATTCTGCCTTGTACACTATCTTGTTCTTTCTTGTCAAATATTCCTTTCACATTTGTCTGGATTTGTACTGTTAGTTTGCATTTCTCTCTCCATGGGGTTTGTTCTGGAATACTTTTAAGTGAACAACCTATTTCTGGAAGGTCAGTAGTTTGTCTACATATTTTTTTTTGCTTGGTGTATAAAGCTTTAAGCTGCTTCTTTTTAACCATCCCAAGGCTAGGTTCTGAAAACTATTTTTCTATTAGTGATCTGTCATACTGAGGAAGTTTTCAGCTTGTATTTGCAACTCTGTAGCTCTGTATTACTTCCTACTTTATTGTGATACTTTCCTCCCTACTACTGTTTTCCCAGCTTTCTCCATTTTAAATATGGGGGTTGATTTTATCCCTCCTGTGATGACTCTGAGTGCTTGATTTTGCACTTTGTCCAACTCCTTTAATGTGGCACTAGATGCTGAACACCATGCAATTGACGTATATTCCAAGTGTGGTTGTATGCTATGCTTGTATAATTTATTGAGTATTTTCCCCCTGGCTCCCCATGTGGTTCCACTTAGTTTTCTTAGTATGGCTGTCTTCTTCCTGGCTCTGGTTGCTGCCTTGTTGTTATGTTTTCTCTATGTCAACATGTCATAAAATGTGACTCCAAGGTACATGGGCTCTTTATCATCTATATCTGAGAAATGAACACATCTGACCAAGCAGTAACATATGAACACAGATGACTAGACTTTTCAGTAACACATACAGCTTCAATTATGGAGCACTCTGGGAATGCTCTTGGAACTGAACTGTGCTGAAAGTGACCCTGGTGATTGAAACAAATATGGACTGGCCACCGAGTTCTGTGTGCAAACAGACAAGCCCTTGCACACAGGAAAGCCTGTGCACATGAGAAGGCCTAGGTGGATAGGGGAGAGGAGGAGGGGAGGGAGAGAGGGTGAGAGAGAGAGAGAGAGAGAGAGAGAGAGAGAACATATCTACACATTACATATATAATAAAGGACCCTTTTCAACACCATTGGGCTTATTGGGCACACAGGGCTAGACCTATATTTTTACAGACCATCGGCACTTTGTGGGTTCTGTGGTCAGCATCATGCAGGCCCCCTTTACTTCCCAGGACTGCACCCGGTACCCACTCAAGGCTTGGTCAACCTGGAAGTCAAAGTCATTGGGGGGAGAGATCCGGCTCCGTCAGAACCCAAACTCACAACCTTTTGGTCAGCGGGCAGGCGTCTAGCTGCCAACACCACAGCGACTCTCTACATATTTAAAAAAAAAAAAAACAAGCTGAAAATAAATAAGCAACATACATTGCTGAGATCAGCACCCAATGTCAAAAAAAAGAGGGTGATGGGGTTGGCAAAAATGGGGAGCAGATGAAACATGATAAATGGACAGCAGATCAAAGGTGAGGATCTATCAGCTGTAAAACAGGACAGGTAATGATGTGGGCTGTGAGAAAGTCAAAGTATAGGAAACACAGAGTTTACATGAAATGATTGATGACAGATCATCCATCAGTTTCTACAGTGCTGAATATCTAGTTTTCTGTCCCAATGGTAAACTTAACATCTTGGGCAGGCTTCTCTAAATTGACACATGTGCAAATGCTTTTCACTGTTTCCATCCCAGAATGTTTAGGAGGACATATCTAGGACAGATATACACCACTGTTCAACTGTCTGAGTGACAACATATCAGTGCTTGCTATATGGTAACATTTCTATCCACACCACAAAGCACTTGTAAACTACACAGCATGTCACATGAACAACATAACCAAAGTCAGGTAGGAAACTCAGCACATGATACAAACAGCAGAAAGCAAGTAAAAGCAAAGGTCCCGATGCACACCAGTGGCACGTCAGGCATATGAGGTTGGACTTATTTCTATAGACCAATCTGTCCTTGATGGGTGATGTGGTCAGCATCAAATCCTGGCTGCCTTTACTTCGCATGACTTTTTTTTTAAGCTGGTACCCATGTTCTTTTTTTTAAATTTAAATCCAACTCTATGCAGATTTGAACCTATGTCCTTTAGATCCACAGGCAAGCGTCTAGCCGCTTCACAATTTCAACATACTCCACAGTAAGCACGCCTCATGTCATCTGAACAACTGTAATGATGTTATAAATAGGGATAATGTCAGGGGATGATTGGCATAACTGGGGAAGTCCCTGAGAGCATGGGTTTCACGGAGATATGGTGAAACGACAGGAAATAGTGAGTCACTTGTGAATGAGGAGATCTGGGGGATTGAGAATCAGGCGGTGATTCGGTGACTGGGCCCCAGAGAGAAAGGATGGGAAATGAAGCTGTGAAGATGAATGGAGAATGAATAGAGCATGTGGATCTGAATCGGCGAGGAATGAATGATCGAGAAGGCCAGCTGTGATGGTACCCTGTTTGATTGTCAAAGCCAGCTGTGAATATGTCAACGTCTATTGTCCGAATGCTGTAAGTGGATTCACCTGTGATTTGTGTATTGAGCTAACATGTAAATAAACTCGTGAAATGTGCCGCTGGTGTTAACCGTTGTTAGACGTTGTGTGACCATGAAGAGGATCATGTCTGCTTTGATTGAGTTGTGAACCTCTAGACATCAGAGCCAGTGTTAACTCTGCACCACAGATAGCCAGTGTGGAGGAGACACAAAAGGGCAGTCATTACAACAACACATGTGACAGAACAATGTACACAATCTTGTACACACACACACACACACACACACACACACACACACACACACACACACACACACACACACACACACACACAAAACCATATGTACAACATACCAACTGCAAGGAAACCACATGTCAACACACGCCATGTATAACATACCAACATGATAACTGCAAGCCAACATGGACACACACATACACAATGTGCAAACACACCATATGCACAACTACCATATTCAACACACGCATGTATAACATACCAACATGATAACTCCCACGACAAGGCAACATCACCCATATGTCTGGGATCCACTGGGATCCACCACTCCCCTGCGGATGGTGGCAAACTTATGCTCAATCTCAATGCGGTTCTGAAGGCCACGGAACTGCCTCTCTTTACTCCAGTCATTGAAAGCTGTCACCATCACCACAACCACCACAGCCACCAAGATGGCCAACCCATCAATCCACCCAGCAGCCTCCTCAAAGCTACCCTGCTCTGCTTCATATGTATCCTCTTCTCTAATGTTTGCTGGAGAAGAACAATAACACTTGCAAGTCAGCATTGAATCATGCACTACTGCAAATTAGGCAGGGGGTAAAGTATAATAGTGAAGTAGGGATGTTAATATCACATTAAAGTAGGGAGGAAAGTATCACAATAAAATAAAGTAGAGAGGAAAGTATCACAATAAAGTAGGGAGGAAAGGAACACAATAGAGTAGGGAGGAAAGTATCACAATAAAGTAGGGAGGAAAGGATCAAATTAATGTAGAAAGGAAAGTTCCACAATAACGTAGGGAGGAAAGTATCACAATAACTTAGAGAGGAAAGTATCACAATAACGTAGAGAGGAAAGTATCACAATAAAGTGGGGAGGAAAGTATCACAATAAAGTAGAGAGGAAAGTATCACAATAAAGCATGGAGAAAAGTATCACAATAAAGTAGGGAGGAAAGTATCACAATAAAGTGGGAAGGAAAGTATCACAATAAAGTAGAGAGGAAAGTATCACAATAATGTAGAGAGGAAAGTATCACAATAACGTAGAGAGGAAAGTATCACTATAAAGTAGGGAGGAAATGATCACAATAAAGTAGGGAGGAAAGTATCACAATACAATAAAGTAGGCAGGAAAGTATCACAATACAATAAAGTAGGGAGGAAAGGATCACAATAAAGTAAGGAGGAAAGTATCACAATAATGTAGAGAGGAAAGTATCACAATAAAGTAAGGAGGAAAGTATTACAAAAAAAGTAGACAGGAAATTATTGCAATAAAGTAGGGAGAAAGTATTACCCAAAAAAAAGTAGGGAAGAATGGTGTGTAACAATAACATATTACAGCACTACAAAGAAGCAGAAAGGAAGTATTACAAAGAAGTAGGGAGAAAACTACAATAAAAAAGGAATACAGAATTATAATGAAGTTGGGGCAAATACTACAATAAAGTAGGGTGAATCAATTCAACAAAGCATTAGGGAGGAAACAAATATAATCAATCAATAAAAGTTACAAATACAAAAAAGCATATTTCAAACATAATGTGCACTGAGAATTTACTGGACCAGAGCACATGTGCACAGGTGCACACACAGAGAGAAAAAGAGAGAGATAGCAGAGAGAGAGAGAGAGCAGAGAGAGCCTAACTGAACTGCCCCAACTGACTAGCTTATAGACTGGTAACATGAAGTGCATCATCCTCTTGGATAAATATTATTCTTGTTGCACTGTAACCTGTACCTTTGTTAATGATTATTTTAATTTCCTTCTAATTTCTGTCCCTGTTTATTTTACCTGGCCCTACGCCTTTTCTCATTATTGAATGCCACTCATTTTTATTCTAATTATTGTAATTATTGCACACTGTTTATTACTGACTGTCAATTACTGTAGTTTTCCTAATTCCTTCGTTTCTTTCGCCTCCCTTAATATGAGAGGGAGGTGGGGGGAGAGAGCGAGAGAGAGAGACGTGAGACAGAGAGAGAGAGAGAGAGAGGTGAGAGAGACAGAGAGGTGAGAGAGAGAGAGGTGAGAGAGAGAGAGAGGTGAGAGAGAGAGAGAGAGGTGAGAGAGAGAGAGAGGTGAGAGAGAGAGAGAGAGAGAGAGGTGAGAGAGAGAGAGAGAGAGAGAGAGAGGTGAGAGAGAGAGAGAGGTGAGAGAGAGAGAGAGAGAGGTGAGAGAGAGAGAGAGAGAGAGAGAGAGAGAGAGAGAGAGAGAGAGAGAGAGAGAGAGAGAGAGAGAGAGAGAGAGAGAGAGAGAGAGAGATTAAACTGATATCTTCAACAAGCTATTGAGAATATTGAAAACTATTGTGAAGAAGCAATGATAAGAAAGAGGCAACAGACATAACTGAAACATAAACATATCAAATACTGTATTCAATCTTTCCCCTGAAGGTAGTCTGCATTCTCCATAATTATAATGGAGTATGGTGTGTATTTTCTCGCCCGCACACAAGGCTTCATGGCAAACTGCATTGTTCTGTGTGAAAATGTGTAAGTTGTGATATGTTGACGCGTGGGTCTGGGGGAACTGGCAGAAAACCAAGATGGCCACCCTTCTTCTGTTAAACTGCTTCTGTGACCAGACCCTGCTGTCTGTCTCTCTCGTTGGTACATATGACAATTATGTAAAACCCCCCCCCCCCCCCCAATCGCACACACACACTAAGGCATTGAACAGAAGTCCTGGACTATTGCCAAGAAAGAACAGACAGACTGCAGCACTGCCTCAATTACAGTGTTAGACAGTGAGAGTTGCTGGTTGTTGATCCATCCACTAGTTCACACCGAGAGCCCAAACATACACACATAGGGTACTGGGACAAGCACTTCACATACCCTTTATAAATGGCTTCTCTAATGCCCTTCTTTATGTTCAAAATCGTGTATATTTTAGAACCCCTTTACATTACACTGTCAGAAGCATGGAGCTGGCCTGGCTGTAGTAGATCCTTCAATAGCTCACCAGCTTGCAGGTATCCACCGCAACAGCACCTATGCAAAATGCCATCATGCTGGCATCTACAGAAACAGCAACTCGGTACTAAAACCTGCACCAGAGATGAGCAGGAGGGAGGCTGGCTATAGGTAAGAACATACGCCAGGTAAACAGGAAGGCGGGATGGTGTCAATAGCTGGGTCGGGATGGGCCCCTACAGAGTCAGCGTATAATGTCTGCAAAACACATGCATCTGCCAGTTGTGCTGTTTGCTTGGGAAGATACCGCAGAAGGCGGGAAAAGGTATTTCAGGGGTGGAGTGTGAGGGATGCCAAAAGCAGGCCGAGGAAGCCACAAGACAGATGGTAAGAAGGAACTGGAATGGTAAGAAATTAACCAAGTGAAGAATTAATGAGTGAGAAGAACACTGGTAGTCAAGTGCCAAGGAACTACCAAAGTTCCTGCTCGGGTGTCAGGAAAAATATGGCTAGTGTTGTGGGAATAATCACACTCAAACTCTTAAGTAGACTATGAACACACACAAGTTGTGGTACACATTCACATAACTGAAGTTCTGATTATTTGATGTAAACTTTCACAGAACTGGCGAGTAACTGGCGAGTTGGTGTATACATTCACAAAAACTCTAAGTGTGTACACATTCACAGAATTGGCAAGCTGGTGTACACACAGTACTGACAAGTTGGTGTACACATTTAAAGAACTGGCAAGTTGGTGTACCCCCAACTTATTCCCATTTAGGTGAGAAAAAAGACCGGCTGCCCCTCGCAAGCATGTCTTAAAAGGCGACCCATTGAGAGTTTACTGAAAGCAGATGCATTGGGCAAGACATCACAACCTAGCTGTAAAGATAATGTGTCGACCATTTTTAAAAGCAGAAAATAGAAAGAAAAAAAAAAGTAAATATCGCTATCGTAAACATGTGGTGCGGGTAGTAGCCAGCCGGCTTTAAATTCCTGGTCGGCAGGACATGAAAGGGTGTGTCCAATGTGCAACAAAATCCAACGGTGTTAATCTTCCCACAAACAGAGCAGGGTTCTAGTTCGTGCCTTTATTTGAGAAGACTTTCCTCCGGGATCTGGTTTTATACACAAAAGACTTTTTTCATTATACATAACATAATTTCCCCCAGGATGTTTTTACATATAAAAAACGTTTCTCCAGAAATAAGTGTTAAACATAAAAGATGTTTCTCCAGAACTAAGTGTTATACATTAAAGATGTTTTTCCAGAACCAAGTGTTATAATAAAAATATTCTTTCAGGATTAGATTTTGAACATAATTTTTTCCCAAGAAAATATTTTATACATAAAATACTTTCACTCGGGATTATGCTATCAATAAGACTTAGCCTAGTATCAAGTTTCTTTTTTTTTTTTTTTTTTTTTTTTTTTTTGGGGGGGCTAAAATCCAAGCTAATATTCGAACCCATAATTATAGAGTTTAGAGGTGACAGTTGTGACCCTATGCACTAAGCACTCTGCTCTCATACTATATAAGAACGAGAAAATAAAGATTAGACTGGGACTAGACTTGATAAGGATGATGCCAAGTGACTAGACACCAGAAAAATTACCCAACAGCTATGTACACATCATACCTGTCTAAGACCGTCCTTCTACGATAAAAAAAATGATATCTGGCATTTGACAACACGCGCCCTAACCAAGAACCAAGAAGGCGCGATTGCCAAACTGGCGAGCCAGCCAGCTACTGCATAAAGGGCACATCAAAGCTACAGGACGATGAGGAGGGTGAGTGTCAGGAGTAAGATGCCAGCCTAACGCTCAGCTGGACGGGCACACTTCAGAGCTGGATCAATATTTCAAACATCTCTCACAGCACTGAGCCCGCAATTTGTATGGGCAAGGTTGTCCAATTGACCGGATCAATCTTGTCTCTTCAGTGCTTTCTATTCCCCCCCCCCCCCCCCCCCCGACATTTACAGCAGCCTCCAGCAGTGAATAGTGCATGCTTTCTGGTGGCTAACCCAAAACTTCTGGTACGTCTCGTGTCTCTTGTGCCACATTCTCTTAGCAGCGATGTGGATGCACTGCTTCTAAACTCTCTCTCTCTCTCTCTCTCTCTCTCTCTCTCTCTCTCTCTCTCTCTCTCTCTCTCTCTCTCTCTCTCTCTCTCTCTCTCTCAAACAAATCTTACGCCCTATGAGGGACGCCCGGCGCCCCCTTTCCAAAGCTACTAGAAAATGTGTAAGGTTGCTCAGTCGCTATGTTTTCTTTGTACAGACACATAAGTTGAGAGCACTAAAAATGTCGGTACGGTTCGTAGGCCTCCTATCTGCAACTATGGCACAGCCAGCCAGCAGGTGTCTTATCTTCTTTTTCATTACCAACAACAGCCGCATGTCCTGGGACAAAGACATGGTAAACCCGGAGACGGTGGACCTTTGCAGTAACTTTATTCATTGTCTGCTTCAACCTGCTACATCATACTCATGGGATCATTCCGTACAGACACGGGGTAACAAACCTTGGGATTCCAGCCCCTTAAAGGCTCGGATAACCGACATCACCTCCCTTGTTACTCAGACAGTGGAGAAGGCAGGCGCCGATATGTTGTATTGTGAATCTGAGCATGAGAAATACACTTCCGTGCACTGATCGGCATTCACAGAAGCAGGGGATAGGAACAACAGACAACACAGCAATTGAAACCGGCAGTAATCATAACAAGATTCAAGCCTTAGAGTAAGACAGAAGGACAACTGTACTTCCTCAAGGACAGGTCGCGCGCGAACTGGCTGACGTTTGTCTTCACTGGCCAGGCCTATTCTCCGCCGGAACCCGTAATTATAAATTATGAACACGTTTCATAATCTGGGAGCTGAAACAGCACTACAGGTCTCAGACGTGACGGCTAACAAGCCTGGGTAATGCTTTCTAAGTAAGACTTTAATCTCGACTTCTTTTCTCTGCACTGCATTCACCCAAAACCTGTCACATTTCTATCACATCTGCATGTACCTATTCGTATGTAATATATTTCACCATCATCATCATCATCACCACCACCACCACCACACTGTCGTCCTGTTATCCCTCACATACACGGCCTGCAGCCTAGTCCTCTGTTCTGCTCTCTCCTGTTCAATGTTTTGTATCTCTCGTGGACGAAAGCCAGTGCAACATCACTGGTCTCTTCCGTCAATGTTTCCCTAAGGGTTTTCTTTTAGACATCTTTTTCTTCGATCCATCTGTTTTCCATTTCATAAAGGATATTTGTGAAACGCAAATTGTAAACTAACTGACACAGACGGTTGTCGCGAACATATTCTCAGCAGTAGAGATATTTTTTGGCGACCAGTATACGCCCAGAAAAACAGAGTACTTGATTATTTTCGAAATTTCTGTCCAAAGAAATAAAGAAAGAGAACTAACAACCCTGTCTCAATATCCCCAACCGTAAACACACACACCCCCCCCCCCCCCCATCCCCCACGGAGAAAGTACTGGGTTGTCCTTGATGCAAATATCCAACCAATAGACCAACGACTGCCAACTACACAATCTGTTATGACTTTCTGTATACACGGTATAACAAGAAGAAAGTCAATTATAAGATAGATACTGGTTATTTTGCGCACGCGCCATGAAAAATGGAAGAAAAAAAAAGAAAGGAAAAATTAAAGAAAAGGGAACAAGAAAAGTTTGAAATTAAAACGTACAATGTATAGTAATTAGACACAAATAGGGGAGATAATGTTTGAGAATGAAGAGGAAAGTATAGAATGAGGAAAATAAACCTTCCGAGAGCCCTTTTCAGGGAGGGAGGGAGAGGGAGGGAGGGAGAGAGAGAGAGAGAGAGAGAGAGAGAGAGAGAGAGAGAGAGAGAGAGAGAGAGAGAGAGAGAGAGAGAGAGAGAGAAATGCGTACAACAGTTTCAATGCTCACCATTATCTTCCTTTGGTGGTTTGTAAAATGATAATCCTAGAGAGATGATGGCAGCGACGATGAGAATGATGAGCGTGACGTCCTGCAGGGCCTCCCAGACCAGCCGCAGGAAACTTTTGGGTGGTTTTGGCGGAATGACGTTAGAGCCAAACACTTTCCGCCGAAGATCCAAATCCGACTCATCCAGACCTGAAACACACGAGAAAGAACTCAGGCCAGTGTGACACCACTGGACAGCGTCTATGTCAGCAGGCTGTAAAGCCAATCACTGCTTAACATAATCCAATATCTTACTCCTACAACAATAAAGACAAGTGAATGCAGAGAGCTTCCACTGTTCAAACATGGATACTGATTGAGACACGCCTCACCGTAAAGCTCACTGACTGCAAGAGTAAAGATCCCTTTTCACGCCTTAGGCGCATCGGGCATATGGGAAGAGCACCTATATTTTTAAAGACCAATCGGCACTAGGTGGGTAATGTGGTCAGCATTACGCCGGCCGTCTTTAATTCCCCACGACGAACATCCTGGTACCCATTTTAGGCCGGCTTGACCTGCGACGCCCCATACCATAAAAAAAATCCACGCAGCCAGCAGTGGGTTTCAATCGCAGTACCTTGGAATTACGAGTCGGACTCTCAACGCCTAAACCACGGACGCCGCTACCACACTGATTATACGTATTCTTTACTCTGTCCGTGTGTGGCCTATGCTGATGCCGGCTTTCTGACTGGCGACTATGATATCGAGAAAATCTGACCAGTTTGACTTTCCGTACTGGTTCTACTTTTCATCTGGGCTGTTTCGTGACACCTTCTGAACATAATCACAGGCAGCAAAGAAGCGACCAACGTGAGACAAGGTGCCCGCTACGAGACAACAAGGTAGGTAGGAACTACCAGACAATGTAGACACAACAATGTAGACAAATTGAGATAAAAAAAAAAGTAAGCACAACAGGACAACAGGGGGTGAGTATGAGATAAAAAGGTAGGCAATCAGTAAGGTCAGCAGGCAATCAGTAAGGTCAGCAAAGGGAGAAAAGACAATGGTAAAGTGGACAAATATAGGGGGAGTAGTGGGGGAAATAAGTCATGTAAGGACATTAGTTGTAAGCTGGCAATTTCCCACAATTCCACGATATACTGCTCAAGGAAGTGTAAATAATTCTCTTTATATAAAAGCCATCGTAAATTACATATTAAAACTAATATTTGCGACTTTGGCAAAAACTTGTTTTAGATTCATCTAGAAATAGCAGATCAAGTGATTTGGCCATCTCTTAAAATGCGACATCAAATACCATCACAGGCACATCTCAGAAGATCAGTTACAAGAACAAGAGGAAAATCATGAAAAACATGAATCGACAACAAGAGACATGTGCACTGGATAGCAAATGATTGCTGGTCAGGACAATGAAGGCAGAAGTGGTTGATGATGATGATATAAAAGCGCAGGGCACCTCACTAACAATACTACACTGGAACTGTCCAAGTACAAGCCATCCATCGTCTGCATACATTTGATTTTGTTATTACAGCGCCTGCACATACACGATGTCATTAAAGGTATATTGCCTTCATCGGCACCTACACTTTTAAGTCTTCATATGAAATTGTATATGAATTCTATCAAGAGAATAATTGAAGCTCATGTGTCTGTTGGATTAGCTATATGACATATTGTTAGTGCATTAGTTGTGTGTGTGTGCGCGCGTGTGTGTGTGTGTGTGTGTGTGAGTGTGTGCGCGCGCGTGTGTGTGTAATGCACTTTAGATAAACTCATTCATGAGATGATTGTTTTTGTTTTTCTTATAAATTAGTAATTGTTTTAGTCATCTTCTGTCATTTAAATCTATTAAATATTTAAAGTTTTGGTTCCATACTTGATTATGGTAAGCATGTATATTTTAAATTCAACCAAATGTTTCACTGGATTATGAACGCCTGTTGTTTGATCTTTGTATCTACATAGGCTCCACATTACTACCTAAGTGGGTGTATGGTTCTATGTGGTTGGTAGTAACAGAATCAACGAACATGATCAGGAACTTCCAAACTGGCAAACTCTGACCAGAATGGCTTGACTGCATCCAGAAATCAGGCCTCAATAAACTGTCTGGCTGTTCATACAGTGGTGAGGATGAGAAGGAAATAAAACTACTGACAGACTGGCCATATCTGCAGTAGCCAGCGGAGGGAGAGGGATGAAGAGGACAGACATACTGAATGTGTTGTGTTCCAGAGACAGGAGTTGAAACCTGGCATTCAACCAGAGAATGTGGTCATGCAGAAACCCGCTCCAGGGCAAATAAAAAAAATTTAAAATATACATACTCTACCATAATAAAGTAGTGTAGCAAAACTTCATGATCCTCTTATGGTCAAAATAGATACTAGGCACGGCCACTGTTTGGAGCCGCAGCAAACTTTTTACTTCTGCCAGATGGTGGCCGTTGCATTTTTGCTCTATTTGTAGACTGAAGGGATATATTTTCGTCGCCCAGAGTACTTAAGTATCAACATCTTTGTCTTTCCTCTGCATATGTTGTTGTGACCTGCATCCTCTATTTCACTTTCTGTTCAATTGCTTCCAGTGTTAAAGGTTCCAGTTCTTACTGTTCTGCTGACTAAACCATAGACAACTAACGTAGAATTTCTCTAATTTCACTGTCCACAGTGTTCTTGATTGTCTGGCATTACAGGACATGTTAAGTACACACTTTTTTATTTGGCATCTTTGAATGGTAATGGGCTGAGAAACACGACTACACAGGAGATTAGCATTGCAAGGACATGCTTACCGGTGGTGGCTGAGGTTTTCAACAGTTTGCACAACTCATGAACTCCACCATACTTGTTGTTTACTAGGTCCAGACCTTCCTGTGCTCGATGTTCCATGAGGTTTCGCAGCTCCTCAACAGTGATGCCGAAGCCCCCACCGGGGCTGGGCCCCGATGCATCCATGCTTAGTGCCTAGAGCAAGCCTTCACGTATCTGAGGAGGACAAATCAAATATATACAAATACTGACCACAGAAACAGTTGTTTCCAGATAACCTTTCACAGCTATTTACAGCCATACTTTTTATATTTCCTGTGCGTGTGTGTGTATGCGTGCATGCTCGAAGATATTACAATCATAAGAAAGACGCAGTCATCGTTTTTTAAAAATCATGTTATGAGAAGAGGGAAAATGGAACGTGTAACCACTGGAAAGATCTGTAGAGAGAGGGATAGAAGAAGACAACGAGAGAAGATTCTTGACAGTCGTGTTGCATGGCAAGCGGGTGTGTCAGCACACGAACTGATACATGCTGCAGGAGATCTCGGATTGTGGAGGCATGATCACCAATGCCACTCGACAAGGCAGCTGATGAAATATATATATATATATATATATATTATATATATATATATATATATATATATATATATATATATATATATATATATATATATATATATAGATAAGATAAATAATAACTGGATTGGTGTGTGGATATGGGCAGGCGGAGTGACGAATCTGATGTATGGACATGTGGGCATTAAAGCGCTACGGGTCGAAAGTTTATCAACAAAAGGATACTGAGTCAGTACTCTTTCTACTAAGTCCACCCACTGCTCCTGCGCGGTACGGATACAGACCCCCCCCCCCCCCCCCCCCAATATTCGACTGCGCAATTTCGTAGAGGGCGTCCGCAAGAGGGAGGGGCAGACATCACGGAGATAGAAGTATATATTAAGCGGAAGATATTACGCAAAAACAGATGCGTGCCAATCAAAACCAGGTGTGCAGTGAAAACATCGGCCTATTTAATGGCTATAAATCCCGCCGGTCACGTGCACACACAAATTGATGATGTCAAAAGATGTTCGAATAATAAGACTGCATGCGGGAGGTCCGAACTGCGAAGGTTACAACTATTATGTATCTATCTAGTGAGAATGTCACTGCCGCAAAAACAAAAAAGACACCCGCTAAAGTTATTTGACGACCACGTCACAGATTGGGTGTATGGAGTGGTCAATGCCCCCACGAACAAAGACACATCTTTGAGGCGAGCATATTTCATCAATAATCATCAACTTCCCTTAATGTTGTTTAGCGACGAGTGACACTGGCCACTGTCTTTCCGTGAGGATGTACGTCTTTAATGTCATCAATGCATCTTCTTCGAGGATGCCTCTCTTGTCCTCACAAATCATCATGTGCCCTGCCGGTAGGTAACTATAGGCGTTCGCCACCCTAATCACTAGTCAACGGTGAATCAAATGTGTTCATATCCCGTCTATGCCACATAACCAAACCATCCAGGTATTTGTCTTTCACTGGCTTTTTTCCCTATCATCATCACGAACAGTGGAGGCAGAAACAGACTATCGCAACCTGATGGGAATGGCGGAGCTGGAAGCGCCCGATCAGTGAGGTCAGGCCATCACTCAGTGAAAAGGCAAGACGACGGACACGCGTGCGGCACTGGAATTGAAACTGCGCTAGCGGTTAAAGATGGGGACGACGCGCTTATGGAAATGCCTTGAATGCTGCGATGTCGGTTTTTAGCTCAGCCATCAAGTAAGGATGTTTAGGCAGCGGTGTTTACTGCCACACTGCATGCATCAAATCCAATTCAAGTGTAATTCTAGACACAGCGCCATTACCACTGCCTCGAGAGTTGTTGTAGAACTGCTACATTCCCCTCATACAGTATGCCCTCAGATATCTCGCCTGCCTGTCCCATAATCAATAGCTGCATATTTACAGACTTCCTGGTAGGCACTCACGCAGCCACTTAGAGAGTCTCTCTCCTCCTCACACAATTTCTCCAAATTACAGGATATCGTGAGACAGTGTCCTATACCCTTCCTTTCTTCATTCAACAAACAGAACACATTTCAAGTGTTGGCTAAAAGGACAGATATGTCAAAGGCATCAGCCACTGTATGGTTTCTAGCGATAACGACCATGATAGTTACATATATCTTCTCAATAACCCGGGTTTTGCATCAGATAAATTACTTTTTCTGCTAGATACTGGAAGCCACTGGCCCAATGGTTAGTATGATAAGCCCTCAAACGGAAAACTCGGGTTCAGTCCTCGGTAAGTGAAGATTTTTTTTTTTATATGGGGAGCGCAAAATAATTCAAGCACTAGCCATGCGGTTCTAAATCCTCAGGCTAACAAACAACCCTTACGTCTTATACCACCATTAGCGCTTTAGCAGTTGAAGTGGTGAATAGAATACAAGTAATAGACTGTAGGGCCTGAAAACTGTGGCTTTACCCTAGCCATTCGTACCTCTTTAACAGCATCATTCTACGGCTTCGTAGTCAAACGAACTAACTATTTCAAATCGGCTAGGCAGGGTCTCATATTCGGTCCTTTCAAACACCCTCTTTCACGCGGTAACTCAAGTAACTGTTTTTAAAAAAAAATCATTTTATGTTAGCATATCGACAAAATATTAAGTTTATAATTTAAATACAAAAGACGAAAGCAAACATGCACTTGATCTCTGTATAATTCACGTTGTGTGGGAGTGTAGCTTTTGCTTTCACAGCTGCTTACATACTGACACACACTAAATAAAACCGCACGTGTTTTACGAACACGACAGCCCGGGTTGGCGGTAACATCCACAAAATACTAGGATGTCACACCAGAAATATAATAAAAGAACACCAGCCGAAACACTAAAATACATCATTAGTACTTACTGAATACACACAGACCTCACAGACAGAAGCAGTGGCCGACAAGCACTACCTATGGTTTAGCTGAGAATCCCCAGTTGTTGGTGTACAATGTCGTGACACGGTGTGGGCCTAATCAAAGAATCTCATCAGAGATATTTATTCACCAACACTGCTAGCTTGACACTTGTATCCACGAGGGCTCTACATCACGACAATTCGCGGGTATCAAGAGCTATTGGCAGATTTGATGATAAAGTGTTGGGTAACAGCCACAATAGACCCCAGCGGTTCTCACCGGTTTTAACTGGTTCTCTAACAATCTGTTTCACATGATTGCACACCACCAGTTTCTCGAGATGTGTTGTGTGGGTCCAGGGATCCATGCCGGAAGGGGAGCAAGCCGCAGGAGAAGGAAGCGGGCAAGTTAGAACCAGTGCACCCTAAACTCCAGACACCTATACACACACACACACACACACACACACACACACACACACACACTTGCGGTGCATACCTAGCAACGAATCCTAGGACACCAGCCGAAACATAGGCTATCAAAAGCCGCTCAATGGGACGAAGTCTGTAGAAAATGTACACACAGACAGCCGTGTGTACATATACACTACTGCGATAAGGGCTGCTATGCAATGCTACGAGGACAGGGCTGGTACGGTGACGCGTTCCAATATGAATACGAATGGTGCGCGCTAATGTTAAAACAAAAAGGGTAAACATACATGGTCTGGTGATCAAAACCACAGTTGGATGCTAGAGCTAGGTCTGGTGATCAAAACCACAGTTGGATGCTAGGTCTGGTGATCGAGACTACAGACAGATGCTAGAGCTAGGTCTGGTGATCGAGACTACAGACAGATGCTAGAGCTAGGTGTGGTGATCAAGACCACAGACAGATGCTAGAGCTAGGTCTGGTGATCAAGACCACAGACATATGATAGAGCTAGGTCTGGTGATCAAGACCACAGATAGATGCTAGAGCTAGGTCTGGTGATCAAGACCACAGACATATGCTAGAGCTAGGTCTGGTGATCAAGACCACAGACAGATGCTAGAGCTAGGTCTGGTGATCAAGACCACAGACAGATGCTAGAGCTAGGTCTGGTGATCAAGACCATAGACAGATGCTAGAGCTAGGTCTGGTGATCAAGACCACAGACATATGCTAGAGCTAGGTCTGGTGATCAAGACCATAGACAGATGCTAGAGCTAGGTCTGGTGATCGAGACTACAGACAGATGCTAGAGCTAGGTGTGGTGATCAAGACCACAGACAGATGCTAGAGCTAGGTCTGGTGATCGAGACTACAGACAGATGCTAGAGCTAGGTCTGGTGATCGAGACTACAGACAGATGCTAGAGCTAGGTCTGGTGATCGAGACTACAGACAGATGCTAGAGCTAGGTCTGGTGATCAAGACCACAGACAGATGCTAGAGCTAGGTCTGGTGATCGAGACTACAGACAGTTGCTAGAGCTAGGTCTGGTGATCAATACCACAGACAGATGCTAGAGCTAGATCTGGTGATTGAGACTACAGACAGATGCTAGAGCTAGGTCTGGTGATCGAGACTACAGACAGTTGCTAGAGCTGGGTCTGGTGATCGAGACCATAGACAGATGCTAGAGCTAGGTCTGGTGATCGAGACTACAGACAGATCCTAGAGCTAGGTCTGGTGATCGAGACTACAGACAGATGCTAGAGCTAGGTCTGGTGATCGAGACTACAGACAGATGCTAGAGCTAGGTCTGGTGATCAAGACCACAGACAGATGCTAGAGCTAGGTCTGGTGATCGAGACCACAGATAGATGCTAGAGCTAGGTCTGGTGATCAAGACCACAGAGTTCGTGATCTGTGCAACGCTCAGCCGGCGATTGGCCGAGCCATATGGAATAAAACCCAGCACAAACGAAGTCAATCCTCTTGTCTGTAAACTGTGAGCTCAATACAGTGGTAAAGTCCATTCTGTGACTGCTGATTGTGTTGCTATAAAACGGTGTGCATCCATCTACTGGCTTTCTCTGCTTAATGCTGTTAGGAGTCGCAGGCACGACAAATGATCGGTTTCAGGAATAGTGCGCTCTCGCTAGTTTGCTGCATGTTGAGACTGTTGCGTTTGAGCAGTTGTTAACTTCATCTATCCGTCTCCTTCTTAGCCTTCCTCTACAACTGATGTGTCCATTATCGCTTTCCTTCGTTTATTCACTAAATGTGTACAACTACCACGCTTCAACCTATTTCACGTGTCCTCCTCC